AAAGAAAATATAGATTTTGCCTTTGGAGGGGTCGAATTTTCTTCTTCTTTTTGTTATATGGAAAAGAAAAACCGCAATAACAAAATTAGAGAAATTCTTTTTTACAACTATTTTATAGATTTAGACCTTATAGTGGAATTTTGTTTTCTACCAACTATTAATTACTAAAATTTCTGCTTTTTACTATTTATTCCTCTATTTTACTTTAATTGCATACTATTAAAATTCGAGTTGTTTCGGTGTCTATGAGGTTATGACCGAGTGTTTCTCGAGAAGAGAAAAAACTATACTTTTTGTTCATTGTGTAAAGCTTAAATATATTCTAATTCATTCATGTATATATCAAAAGGGAAATGTAAATCTTTTTTCCGATTTCTGATTTCAGTTTTACTTAAAAAAATTCTTTAAACATAATTAAACTCCAGATATATTTTTTTGTACAAATTCATGATAAACAATCAAGAATCTTAACAATTGATTCATAGCAACTAGCTAGATTAACCCAAAGATATCCGTCAAACGACGCCCAAATATTATAAGAGCTTTCGTCATCAACCATTATTACTAACTTTCAATACATTGTGATTCAAAGCGAGTCTCAAATGTTATTCATCAATTTTGAAGCATTTTCTCTTGTCAATCTGTGGAATACTTTAACTACGAACGGATTAAAATTCATTCAAAGATCTTAGATAATAAGAAAAGAAAAAAACATGTACAAACACAACATCAGCGTATATATATGAGACTCGCTTAATCATGTGAAACAAAACATCTTGTTGTTGTTATGAGAACATTTTCGGATTTTTTTCTTTGGCCCAGCCCATTTTACAAGGGCCCAATCTGACGCATACTCAATGCGTTAGGGTTTTTCCATTCCACTAATATAAAAACCTAAAACCTAATTCATTTCCGTCTCGTTCGTCTCTGCAACCAAGGATTTTTGCTTTGTGCGCCGGAAGAGGGAGAGAGAAGCCATGGTTAAGTTCTTGAAGCAGAACAAGGCAGTGATCCTCCTTCAAGGTCGCTATGCCGGTAAGAAGGCCGTGATCATCCGCTCGTTCGACGACGGTAACCGTGAGCGTCCTTACGGTCACTGTCTCGTCGCCGGAATCAAAAAGTATCCGAGCAAAGTCATCCGCAAGGACTCAGCAAAGAAGACGGCGAAGAAATCGAGGGTTAAGTGTTTCATCAAGCTCGTTAATTACCAGCATTTGATGCCGACTCGTTACACACTGGACGTAGATCTGAAGGAAGTTGCGACTCTCGATGCTCTCCAGTCCAAGGACAAGAAGGTCGCTGCTCTTAAGGAAGCTAAAGCTAAGCTCGAGGAGCGTTTCAAGACCGGAAAGAACAGGTGGTTCTTCACCAAGCTCAGGTTCTGAGAACCGAGTTTGTTTGGTTTTATCTTACTCTACTTTATAGTTTTCTAGAATGAATGTGGATCATGTTTTGGATGGTTTAAGACATTTGGTTTTGAAATTTGATTCTGGATTTTGTCTTTTGAGTTATGATCATTTGCTATATTGGTTCCTTAATCACTGGATTCTGGATTATCTTTGTGTTTGGAAACCAAATTGATGAGTTGTGATGTTCACAGTGATTGATATTGAAATGGGTTTCTCTGAAGTATAGGATTTTGGTAAAGTGGCTTTGTATTCACTGTATTGGCATTGGCTCTGTTTATAATGAGTCATTGCTTCTAGGAACATAGAGCTTCATAGAAGCAATTTTTAGTCGTTATTCTCGATTTCCTTTGGATTATATTAATGGTCTTGGAGATAAATCAACAATTGCACTACAATCTAGTGATTTGATTTAGTTTTTTCTCCTTTTCATACATCAGAAGAAGTTGTTGGCTCTAGGTTAAAAAGGTATGGTGCGTATGGTTCTGCTTGTTTCAGTTGGAATCCAAATTTCTTTTGCTTGTCGTGAGTTTGAAAGTTAGGTAGCGGTATGGATTAGTGTGCAATGGCATGTATGTGTAGACAAGTAATTGTCTCAAACTGAAGTCGAACCAAATCTCCTTAGACAAATTTATTTGAATTATGTTTAACATTTGGAGAATTGGTCTCATTTTACTTTTCTGTTTTCTTCATGAAAGACCCAAGTGTAAATTAACTTTGAGGAGGAAGTCGATTCCAGTTTAGAACATGAACATCAGTGTTAAATATAGGCTTTGATTTTGAGAATTGAGAAAAGACGAAAGGATCAAATTCAGTGAGCTTCTTTCTTTTGCACCGTCTTTCTTCTCTTCTTCTCAATTTCTAGTTTTTTTTTCATGCTTCTCTTACACGATGTCCAAGTCACAAACATCCTGAATATCTTGACGAGTTTCCGAAAACAAAACCATTGGCAAACAAAGAGTGATTGTTGTTATTGGGACAATATTACATGGGTAGACTATGATATCTCCGAAATCTGAACCTTGCTTACAACAATTTCAATGCCTTTCCAATCTAAACCCATCGGACTAGAAAGACTTAAACCTTTCCCATTCTTTTTGTTTCTTTTGATCATATCCTTCGTCTAACCAAGTTGGTATCCCTCGATCTTGCTTCTTCTACTACGTTTTCTAACAATTTCTTCGTCAGTTTGCACAAAACTTAACAAGTCTTATAGAGAACGTGATATGACCTACGTAAATATTTCTTCAGAAAATCTATGTATGATCTCAAATCTAACTTCTCTAAGATCAATCCGCTTTCATTAGGTACAATGAAACTCGCCTAAACTAAAATGACAAACTTATCGGAAACATAGAAGCTAATTAAACAAAATATTAAAATGACTAATATTAGTTTTGAATTTTTTTCTTTTTTGTAAGTCATTTATCAACTTTAATTAGTTTATGAGAAGATTGGAATAACAATAACTTGTTCTCTTCTTTTTTGGGATTTTTTTTGACTGCCACAATAAATTCTCTCTCTGGTCTTATAGAAAAACCATATTTCCAAATTAATGTATCCAATAACCCCTCTTGTATTTTCCCCAAATCACATTTCTACAGAGAAAAATTAGAAGATGCCCCACAAAAAGCCACTTATCATCATATCACACCTAAGACTTTATCAAAATTAACAATCCAGTCCTCTAATTAAAAAAAAAAACCGATTCAGCTAACAC